AAAATGTTCAAACTGCAACTGCAAAGATTAGGGGAAATTTGGAGAGATTTCTTATCCTGGAAAAGACAGTTGCTTAAGCTCAAGTTGAGGTCAGAAAAATTGAGTTTTAAGGAGTTCATCAAACTGTATAGCCAGAAAGAAGGTTAGACCCATTATTGCCATTTTTTATGAAGTGCCAGGGCCACGAGTTCATCATCCAAAAAGCAAAAGAAATGAAAGAGGAAATTGACAGAGTATCTATGCGGAATTAACAGAGGAAAAAAGAGAGAGGAGGAAGAAGTAGTGGCTAAAGTTAAAGGCAAGAGAGGATGGGAAGAGTGCTTTCTTTTAGTAAGCCTGAACCAGACAAGTTTTCCAGTGACGGTCAATACATTCCATGGTAAACTCGTAATGTTATTAATATTTACTTCAGGATATCTTTAAACCATGTTTTTGCTTTAAAACCTAGAACCTCTTTGTTTTGTTTGTTACAATTTCCAAGGGGAGTATGGGTATGGCATGTATCTAGCAAAAATTAAGCACAACTCGTTAGAAAATACGGTCGTTCCAAATTCCCTCGGAGCTTTAGAGGTATTTAAATAATTAAAAATTGTGGGCTGCCTTTTAAATATTAAGAACCAAAATGAAATGTTGTATATTTTTACTGGTTTCATTTATTTTGTAATCTATAAAACTGTTACGTCTTAATTATCTTTATTACATCTTTTAAATCTTGTAGTAGTTACTGATTATGCAAGGCCCCTAGTTGTGGTGCTGAAAGGGCCACCCTGTCTTAACAAAAATGACCTTACTTGAAGTCTGATTTGTCTCCCAAGTTTATAGTAGACGCACTTCAACCAAACTAGGAATCCAAGCTATGGTTAACCATTAAAAGTAGCCCTTGACACAAAGTCAAGAGAGCTTCAGTACAAAGTGAAAACTAGACATCTCGCAACCAATAGCTTTCTTCAAAAATAAGAAAAGTAGACTTGCTGAGGTAGTAGTGTTTACATGTACTTTTCACTGACACTGGACTCTGCCAATTTCAAGGACTTTCACAGGACATTTTGGTTTGAGTCTCTAACTATCTTATCATAGATCTGCAATCTACCATGAGTATTCAGGCTCTTTTCTCGGTGATGGATTGAAGATATTTAGGAATCAGTTGAAACAGATGAAGTTTGCTACATCGTTTCAAAATGAAATCTAACAGACTCTCCCTAGAGGAATTAAGCTCAACGAATTTATAGATCGAATGCTGCCTCCATCCATCTAAAGCGGCCTAAATCCCAATGGTTACAGTTTTAAAAGTAAATCAAAGATCTCACCAAGAGCATAGAGACCCTCAAAAATTTAAAATTGCAAAGAGAGCTGCAGGTTAACATAGGAGATGAGGCAAAGAAGTTTCATGTAAATGCAATTTCCCAGGAAGACGCAAGCCATAAAACCTATTTTCTCCTACCTGCAAGAATGTCTTTCAGCATTTACTAGAATCCAGAAAGTTCTTGCCCTTGTTTATCACTTTATTCAAGCCGGTAAATGAAGTGATGTACCCAAAAGACCACTAACTCTAAAAGAAACTTAGGAACAGGGAGAAGCAACCCATCATTTGAAGTCAGCTGCACCTTGATGTATAACTTGATAGCCTGAAAGCCTGCAGTGGGTATCAGCTTAACCAGAAGATTCCTACCAAAGCACCACCGCATGCTTTGGTGGGATGGGTTGATAAGAGTATTTTGTATTCAATCAGAAAATAAAGTTCATTTACACACATGAATTCACCTCTCAGTTTTTCGACCAATCAAAGACAAGATCGTTTACAGCATAACGAAACGTTTTCCTGAAACAAAATTATCAACGCACCGAAGCGTAGCAGAGGGAATATCAACTATTTTACAACATTTAAACGATCAGGTTGAAAGTGTTATAAAACAATTGGTTCATATGTCAGCTGTGCATTCATCGAGATATGAAGCACTTAGGAAGTTTAGAGAGCACTCAAGAAGCTATAGTTCCTCTCGGCTACGCCTAGAGCAACTCTTACGCATCTTTCGTGCTCTCCAAACTTCCCGCGATGAACCCACGCGATGAACCCACGCTGACGTCTGAACCACTTTCAGCCTTTATTTAGAAGGAAATGAACAACAACAAAGAAACAACAGTCATGATAAATAAACCATTGCTTTCTTAGGCCTCCAGCATATCAAAAAATACTTCATTCTTAGAAAGGCAAATTAAGATAAAAAAGTGGTGCTGTTAACTTTTAATAATAAGTTTAATAGTAAAATTTGTGACATAAAAGTTACAAACCTTTCTTTTGACATCCACAAAAAATGAAATAAGAAGGGACATGTAAAAAGCTATTTCAACCACATAAAAGAAAAACATTGCCTCTGTAAGAGGCTGGAAAAACAGAAAGAAACCAGGAGTCAGCTGGAGACAACATGGATGAATCTACATGGTTAATACCTTATGAACAATTTTCAGTTTGGCTCTGACATGATTGAACCCAATGCTTTGAATATTGGTGCCCAGCTCAATTTTGTTGCAAGAAATGGATGCAAGAATGAAGGGCACCAAAGTGAACAGGGTGTCCAACAGGAAGATGTAAAGACTACACTGTGTCCTTAGTCAATGATTGTCTCTATAAATAAGACCCACTAGAACTTTTAGTACTTGCTTGAAGAGATATTGAATTTTGAACAAATTTTAATTTGACCATTATTATACAATATTTTTGTCACCGTTTGGCCATCAGGTTAACTGACTTCTAAATAAAAGTCAAAGAATTGCTTGAGAATGGAGATAACTCTTGTGTCAGAAAAGGCATGAACTCTTTAGTTCTCCTTTGATCCCTTATGTGGTCACATGTATATTGTGATCCAATGTAAGGATATGAAGAGGGTAATTTAAAGTAGCTACATCACTGCAACGAAGCAAGCTTAAACACAAGATCAGAACGACAAACTGAAAGAGCCCTTATCCTATTATCAAGAGCAGAAATGAAGTTTGACCATACCAGTTAGCTGTATAGTGAAATGAGTGTGGATTTTGACAAAATTGTACCTGTGGGACTGATATCAACCACAGCAAACACCTATGGCGCGCCTTTCCGGTCAATATTCAAACAACCTTAATATACAATACATCCATTACATTCCTTTGCCATATTTTTTATTTCCTTTATGTAGATATATTTTTTTCGCCACTTTATTTTTCATTTTCCTTCTATATTTTTTAAATCTCTTCCTATCAATTTAGATACACGTGTTTAACGCATCTATTTTCTATTTTTTCTCTTTATCTTATATGCGTTCTATATTTTTTATATTCATTCCATATTTTTTTTTCGTTCCGAGTGGGATTTTTTATTTTCTTTCTAATTAGTATGCAACAAGTGATCACATGACCACGCTACACTTTTTCCATTCCGCCATTTTGGCGTTCGGCTTTATGGAGGAAGAGCTATCGACTGCTTGTCGTGCGGCCGCGGATGCTTTAGAGATTTTAAGTAATTTGAGACCTGGTTTTACGAGAAATGTAATACCTCGGATGAATTCAACGTCAGTCTCTGTCAGTCAGCCGAACAACGGGGATCGTAAGGTAAACAACGAGGAACTTCAGTCGAACGAACTTGCTATTCAGTCCTCGACGTCGCCAGCCTCTAACAGTTCTATTCAAGCTCGGCTTGCCACTCTCTTTCCGACAATTGGTTCGAACCGAGCTAGTGGGAAAAGCACTAGTAGAAGACCAGCAAGGTCAAAGCAGACCATTAAGTCGACCAAAGGCCGTCCACCCAAGACACTTGTCTACAAGGATCTAGTCCTTATTCCCAGTCCCAAGATCAACAAAGTGCCTACACATACAACCCGACTTCAGTTAGAAGAGAGAGAACTTGTCTGCCACGAGTTTCCCTTTGACAAGAGCTGGGATGCACATTCCCTCAAAGCTGCTATATTGAATCGATTTCCAAAGCTTTTGCTATTTGAATATGTCAAGGTGGGTAACTTTGCGTTGTGATATAAGTTTAAACATTGTTCTACGTTAATGCTTTAATAATATCATTGCTGTTCAGTTTGTACATTTGTTGTGGCTGCACTATTTTTAAATACGCATTTATACTATTTTGCCAAAAATTTAACCACATGAGAGGATACCTGCAGTGACGCGAGTAATGGACTTCAATTTTTGGCAGAATTTGTTGGGTTATTTTAGATTTCCTCTGGTACTGCCCTGCTCCCACCCCTTTCTCCTTCCTTGTGATATAAGTTTAACTTAACTACTCTTTCATTAGATTTACCCTTGACTTTTGCAAGAAGCGTGCAAGTAATGTGTGTTTTTTCTTAACCTAGCCATGCTATGGAAAGCTAATAACTCCTAAGCTGGCAGAAGGCATAACTCTGGATGCAGAAAAGAGTGACCAGGATGGCTGGTCAAGGAGCTGTTTATGTTAGATCACTGGTGCCTTTGGAATCTGAAGATGAGGGTGAAACTGAAGAGGAGGTAGAGAATTCAGCATTAGATAACAGTCCAAGGTGAACTTTTTCTTGTGAATTTTTGCATTGAACAAAATAAAACCTGTATAGATTTCTTATAGCTTTTTTGCCTCACTGCAAAGGTAGCTTCTCGTTGCAGTGGAATCATCTTATATATGATAGACTGGTATCCCAGATCATGCTACTAGGCATGACAATGGCTTTTTGTTGGAAATATTATCTAGTTTGTCTCCAAACAGATTTGTGTATTTATTTATTTTATTGGTTATTTATTTATTTATTTATTTGTTTGCTCAGATCTTTATTCAATTGTTTGGCAGGACAGGACATAAATTAATGTGGTTTATTGCAACTCCATGTGATTGTGGATATTTGTATAAGGATGAACCTTCATAGTCTGTTACATCATTGCCAATTAGTTCCCTTTTTTTATGGTTTGTGACAAGTTGATATTTCCTTTTAGTGTTAGTGGAGCACAAAGAAGTTCTCTGTTGCTTTCATTTGGGGAGAGTGAAGAGAGGCCAGATGCAGCTGTGGTGTCCCACCCCTGCACAACCTTATTGTGTACCATTTCCAACTGAAGCAGAAACATTACATCAAAATACAGAGTTAAATGATGTAGAGACAGGCAGTAACTCTGATATTTTTCATGCATCATCTGAGCATGTACCTGTGTCTGTATCAGTACCTGTACCTCAACTGTTACCAAAACGTATCATCCAAGTGCACAGGCTAAATATTAAGAAGGATTTGATTGACTTATTCCGAGATCCATTAATTATGAGTCAGGACATAGAGATAATTGTTATTGATGCTAGGGGAGTTGAAGAAGTGGGAAGAGGTGTTGGGTTGCTCAGAGATGTTTTCTCTCTTTTTTGGAAAGAAACATATGATTCCCTTTTTGTTGGAGAAAATGAGCGTGTACCATTTGTAAGACATGATTATCAAAGGGATGAATGGGTTGCTGTTGGCAGAATTTTGGTGAAAGGATATTTAACCTGTCAATACCTACCAGTCCTTTTGTCTCAAACATTCCTTGCCTGTCTTTTTTGGGGGGAATCTGCAGTAACTAGTGCTATGCTGACTCAATCCTTTAGAAATTACATTTCAGTTGATGAAAAATGTTTGATTGACAAGTGCCTTGCTGGTGATATGAAGTGGGATGATGAAGATGAAATGTCCCAGCTTTTAGAAGTTTTTAGTAACTATGACTGTCGAATTATAGTAAATTCTGAGAATATTATTCAAGTTATTGAAGAAATAGCCCATAAGGAGCTGCTGCAGAAGCCACAGTATATTGCAGACTGCTGGAAGGATATAGTTTCCACACTCCTTCCTAGTTTTCCTGATTTTGCAGCAATTTCCAAAAGGTATGAATTTTTAATACCATCCACAAGCAAAATCCTTAGTTGCCTAGAGGCAAACCCTGAGAGTGATGGGGAAAGGGATAGCCTTAAGTTTCTCAAACGGTATATTAAGGGCCTTGACACGCCTCAGAAATTATCAAAGTTTGTAAGGTTTATCGGTGGGTCTGAGTTAATGCTTTTTGACGCAGTCCAAGTAAATTTTACCAACTTATCTGGTTTGGGTCGCCGACCAATTGCCCACACATGTAATACTGTGTTGGAGCTATCCTCGACTTATCAGTCATTTCCTGAACTTAGAGAGGAGTTCAGTGCAATACTTGCATCAGATTATTGGGAAATGGATATTGTGTAATATGCCTTGTGACAAAAAGAAGACCATTATGATGGCAAGCTGATAGAACAGACTGTTAATTCATTTTTGTAGTGAAATTATGTTTTCTACCTTGGATGGGTATTTACGATTTTAAAACATCTAACAATAGTGCACATATTATTTTCCAGTAAATCAAACTGGGAAATCGTTAGCTAATATATTGTTGTCTGTTCAAAGTTGACATTTTCAAGTGAGCGCAGTTGTTTAGAACTTTATTGTTGAGATTTTAATGTATTTTTTCTTGACTGTTGTAAAGGTTAAGTTGCATTCGTTGTTCTATTCTGATTGATACAATTTGAAGGCAATTAATAAACTTAACACTGTTTACGTTTTCAATCTGTAATAGTGGTACCTGTTTGATAGGCATTAATTGATCTTAACTCTCTGGCCCTGTTTTCACTCTCTAAACAACGAATTTCAGGTTAATTGAATGCTGGGAACACCTGTTTTGAAAGATAGTTACCAGCCAAGTTTCTTATATGTTGAACTGATTCCTGAGGATGTCTATGCATCTCAAATATTGAGTTCTACCATGTTCACCATCGTCATTCAAAGGGTGACAGGAGACTTCCAAGATATGCAGTTGTTGTGGTGTGAGGTGAACATCAACTGCTGGTATTGAGACCTGGTAATCGTCGTCGTCTAACGGGATAGGTCCATCTGGATCAAACCCATACAATGGAATTTCATTTGGATGTAGAATACTCTCAACTCCAGAGTATCCAGAGTGCATGTTTTCCAAAATCCCAGAGGCAAAAATTTGTAGGGGAGATAATTGATGTTCACTGGAGACAGGGTGATTGTTCCATTGACTAGTAAAGTGTTGCAATGCCCTATTTATCCTTGGTATGTATACAAAGTGCAATGAAAATAAATGTACTTCATTTAACGGGTCAAGAAGACCCATGTCTTCCATTCCACTAAAGATATTGGCAAAGTGACAAAGGACACCAGCGTAAACATCCTTGTGAGCACGCTCAACGCGGCAGTTGTGGACAGAGCTTCCCGTTATGATACTTCCTCTGTTTAGTCCTCTATTTTCCAACATGTACTGTGCCACTCTAACATTTTCCAGTCCATGATCGCTTCTTACTCTTGAAGGTAAGCCAAACTCTTGTACTCCCTTGATGAAGAGCTCCAACACTGTATCTGCTCGGTTGTTATCAGTTAGGTGGCATACACAATAACCCTTGAATACCCATCAACACAGCAATGCACAACAAACCTGTACCTGGTAAGCTTGTGGTTTCCGTCTATGTGCCACAAAGCGTTTGGCGTTGGTACAGAGTACTTTCGACGGTAAACCGGAGTACTCCAGCGAAGTGCTGTCCCAAGCGGGTCTTGTCTACGAAGACAGTAACGAACTCTCCATCGCTGGATTCGAAATCCCCTTGCTCGGAGAGCTCCAAGCAATCTTCGTTGTCCAATGTTTGGAGTAATGCTTCTAATTTCTTTGACAGCGTCTTCAAGCTGAGAATCTGAAAAGAAGTTCTAGTTTAATTCATAAAGTTTGAAGTGTCGTACATCATTGAGTGAGATGGGGAACCTAAAATATTTTGACTAAGGGTATGGATTCCAAGATTTGTTTTACCCGAAACTATATCACCCTTGTCCAAACACACTGATAATAAGCATTAAACCAAATAAGCTACTAGTACAGATAACCTTAGTCTGTAAATTACTGCGCACCTGACAATGCGGTCCAGTTTTCGCTGTCATCATCCAAATTTAATTCCCGTCTTCTTCGACGTAAAGTACTTTCACTGATACCTAACAAACTAGCGATTTTTACCCAGGAGAAATGCAGTTCGCGTAAGAATTCGATCTGCTCTCTTTCGATGACGATTACTGGTCTTCCTGCACTTGTTAGTTTAGTGGTAGGACAAGCGAATGAATTTGATATCGTTGCTTCAACGGAATTTCTTTCCTCGTACTTTGTCATTGCACGAAAAACAAAGCGTACTTTTGTCAAAACAGCTTCTATTATTGTCTTGAAATCTCGAAGGACAGAGTCCTCACTTTGCCATACACTATGCAATAGCAACTGTAAAGTTAAAATTGCATCTTCCAGACGCACGTTAGCTTGTTCAAAGTAATCAGCGGAGACATCTTGTGTGTTCAAATTCTGAATACCAATCAACAGGGTACGAAGAGACTCTACGAAGTTGTATAGGCCTCTCTCGTTGCCACCTCTTAAAGTTCCATCCGCCATTTTGCTTTTGAAATTGTCGGAAAAGTGCATCGCGGTCATGTGATCACGTGTTGCATACTAATTAGAAAGAAAATAAAAATCCCTCGAAACAAAAAAAAATATGGAATAAATATAAAAAATATAGAACGCATATAAGATAAAGAGTACAAAATAAAAAAAAGATGAGCTAAACGCGTATATATAAAATAATAGGAAGAGATATAAAAAATATAGAAGCAAAATGAAAAATAAAGAAGCAAAATAAAACAGCTACAGAAAGGAAATAAAAAATATGGCAAAGAAATGTAATGGATGTATTGTATATTAAGGTTGTTTGAATATTGACTGGAAAGGCGCGCCATAAACACCCATATTCCAGCTAGGAAACCTTCGCAAATCAGAATTTACCATGAACAAACTTTGAAGGTCAGATCTTATTTTCAACACTTTTTCCTCAGTGCTCACTTTCTTTATGTTTGCTTTACAGACTTCACATCAGGGGACCAATTTAACACCAACCAAAAGGTCTCTGGATTTATCAACCACGTGAATTTCTTTTTGTTAGCATGATAATCATGACTTAAAACTTACATCCTCAGCCATTTATAAGCATATCCACATCAACACCAACTCCTCATTTCCTAACTAAAACCATTACAAAATTAACTATGATGAGGTTTAGGAAACTATCAGAGAAGAAAACTAGCAGTAATCAGAAAACAAGATCTAGCTGAGCTTATCTCAACAAATGACCGCAAAATTTATCATTGGACATATTTACACATTATAGGATTTTATATGAAATAATTTTTTTACATGTTTATTCAATTTATTCTAATTATTATTTTACCTCTGTATTAGTTCTTAGACAGGTGTCCATACTTAGTAGTACCTGCAACGTTTATTAAAACAGAGATGAAGTTACTATTATGACATTTATTATTTTTGAAATTAAGGGTTCCAAACGTTTTTTTGTATGGACAATTATGTTGCCTCTATATGATAGGTCACCTGGTGCCTCCCCCAAACTGTCTTAGGAGAGGAATCTTTGCTGAATCAACCATCCTATCTTCCCTCAATCAACCCAGAACAAATACTGAACAGTTCTGTCAAAGAGAGAACCACGTATACAAGGAAAACCATGGTAAACTTAAGAGGCCCTGCTAACAGTGTGAAAGTGCTTGGTAAAGAAACCACCTTTTGGTAGTGTTTGATGCAACTAGGAGGGAACTACTGCAAGAGAGAGAGACAGATGTCAGGTTTGTCACGGGAAAACAGCCCTTAACCATTCTCCCTCCGTTGGTAGTATTGCCACTGCAAAATTTTAAAATGCTACAAGTCGACAATTGTTGGTTGAATTCTTCCTGCACTTAGACATCAAAATAAGGAACCATTGACAACATTTGAGAAAGGGAAAACGAAATGGACAGACTCTTTGGAAAAACTTTGTTAACAACTTTGAGTCAATGCGACTAAACAGACTGTTGGTCAAGAACATGAAGAGGTCACAGGGGAATTGTTCCCAAACCTCCAAGAGGGCAATCTGCACAAAAGTCGTGCTTGACTTTCAAAAAGGAATATGGTTTGTGGCAAGGAAAGTTCTGCCAAGAGTTCATACTACTGGATGTGCTTCTCAAGAACCGAGCGGTAATAGTGAACAATGATTCCCATTTTTGGCTGTTGGTAACCTGTCGGTCAACTGTTGGCCAACAAGCTACTGACAATCACGCGAAAGTGCTAAATAGACCAAAAATTGACCGAAAACAAAGTCAAAACTTTTCCAGTTGAAAACAGTAAATAGAAACCTGTCAATTGCACCATTTACACCTATCTACTTGATTCTGTTTAAACAGTAAAAAAGGCTTGTTTAACCCATCTCCTGACTGTACGTACCACAATGTAGTAGTAATTTAGTACCTATTTTATGATGGCCCTGAAGGCTCACAGTCCAGTTTTATTTTTCTCAGTCCAGTTTTATTTTTCACAGTCCAGTTTTATTTTTAACGATGACCCAGGAGGCTCACAGTCCAGTTTTATTTTTTTCATAGTCCAGTCTTATTTTTTCACAATCCATTTGTATTTTTTCACAGTTGTATTTTTTCACAGTCCAGTTGTATTTTTTCACAGTCCAGTTTACTTTTTCCACAGTCCAGTTTTAATTTTTAATTTAGTTACCAGATCTCTTCCCTACTGATAGTTACAGATGCTCACGTTTGACAGCCATATTGTGTACTGAAGTGCGATGGATGTGATTATAAGGCAAACGGTATGAGAGGAATTGAGACGGTCTAATCCAACTGTATCAGAAAGAATATCCTCAACCGATAGTGGTGAAAGTGACCAATGTGAAGGAGAATCAACTTCACTGGGATCATCATGGAGTACATTTTCATCACAAACAGTAAACCGGCTATCAGGATTGCTTAACCGAATAAGACATGGGAGTGGGAGAGACAGCTCCAACAAAAAGTAGAGAATTGTTAAGGAGCACAGAATACAGGTGAGGTGGTTGCACTATGATAAAAGAAAGAAAACGTTTACTTCTGTTAGACAAAAGAATGGCGGTAGAAATTTCTTCATTGCATATACTCATACAGAACCACTCCCGCTGGAAGACCTTGGAGAGAAGGCATGTGCGTTGTTTTTCCCAAATGGAAAGAATAGTTTCGCCAGTCACTTAGAAGATATGAACACGTGGATTTGTGATACCACTGAAGTGGCAATTTTTTAATTTCCTGGTGAAGGAACTGTGGAAGACTACTTGAAGAGAAATGGCCTGTATCCTTCCTCCACTTATTTTTTCCTCCGAACTCAGCCGCGATATCTCCCAGGCGATGAATTTGAAAGCAACACTAATGAGGCCACGGGAAAAGAGAGAGCTCTTCTACCGCGGAAGAAAGTGCTGTACTATCTGTTCCAGCACCTGCCAAAGCCACTTACCGGGAAGTGTGCAAAGTGCATAACTGTACTTTCAAGAAAAGTCAAAGCTGTCTAAGGTGTGAGCAAAACCATGAGTATGAGGAGAATCTGTGGGCTAATAACACCCCTTGGTCCACGTGGCAAGCCACTGACCAAGAAGCTTTGGAGGCTAGAATGGCGATGTTCGATAACTGGACCTCGATTCCAGAACTCAAAGAGTTCAAAGGTCATATACACCCTAAGAGCCTAGCCGTCTTTCATGCCTCATGCACCATGACTTCACTCCCTGTCCAAGATCAGACTTGTTTGTGACAAGCCCAGGCAGTTGCAGTTTACACATGCTCAGTTGTACCAATCCTCAAGGATATGATTAAGTTGACAGAGTGTGCTTATCCGTGAAAGAATACATGCTCCCTAGGGACAATGCAGCAATGACGATTTGCCTCACAATGAGTTGGCAAAACTCATGACTCAAGAAAGCATCATTTGTTTCATTTGATTTTTAAAATACAGGAATGTGTTGGTCATATCCTTTTTTTTATTCAAAGGCTCCTAGACGAGCCGTTTCTTTAGGTTTGAACTAAGCAAACTTAGTTCAGTGGAAAGATCTCTGATTTGTGGGACAACATCTGTCTCGGGCTCGCCTCTTGATGGAATTTATCAATATTAAGTCCATTTTCAATTTATTGGACAAAAACATCTCTAGTGGAATCGCTCATGAGTATAAATTGCAATGCTCCTGTTGTTAATGATCACTTCTTTCACTTCTGCGAACACACCATGAGTTCATCACAGAGAGTTCTCAAGTGTACTGTATGTGGAGGTGACCACCCCAGACTGCACTGTTTAGTTCTTTGTAACAGCTTCAGTGGCAACAATAGAAGATGTCATTGCCAATCATTTTTGTTACGCTGAGTGACCCTGGACCAGATGGAGAAAGGCATATGCCAAAGCTATGAGGTTACTGGACGTACATTTTTTGCCACAAGTTAACATTCCATTTGAACCACACACCAGTTTCATCAAGCAAAACAGGAAGAGTCCGAGACAACAGACCAGTTTGTGATCACATTGTTCCAGCTTAGCGAGAATTGCGACTTCAGAACATCCAAGGAAGAAGAAGTCCCCGATCAGTTAATTGATAAATGTCGGTCACATGATCTTTGCAAGAAACTACTCGCTGTCAGTGGTAAACTAACACTTCAGAAGGCTGGAGACATTCCTAGATCTATGGAAGCTGCTGAAAGTCAGGCACGGTCGATTGAAAGCAATTCACAGAGCGGAAATGTGAATTCCTTAGAGCAGGGACATTTTGATTCGCCTAAACGTGGAGGAGGACGTTGTTATTGGCGTGGACTCGAGGGACATTTTGCAAGAGATCCAGAGTGCACGGCAAGACTGGCTACTTGTATGAAATATAAAAAAGTGGGGCATTTTGCCAAAGTTTGCAAAGCAAAGGAAGAAGACACTATTAGGCCCAGGAAAAGAAATATACACCAAGTTACCAAGGATGATGATTTCGCTTTCACCTTACAGTCTAGTGGAAAAGATTGTAGAAATCGTTCACACTGTTTTGTAACTAAGTTAATCAGTGACATCGGACACTGTGTTTTGTTCGACATATTCTTGTTTAACCGGTTTGATCACGCGCGTTTTTTTTGTAATAATATCCTGATTTCAATGTTTTTCGATGGAGCAAATTGATGTATGAGTGATTCCTACAAAATAAACAAGTTTAACGGAGTTTCGAATGCGATTATTATATGGCACCCAAAGTGGGGCCCTTAGCTCCTCGATGAGTACGACGATCATGACGACTGTAGAAAAAAAAAAGATTAACACAATTGCGAGCGATCCATGGAGCATAATGTTCTATTGTTACCAAAAACGTGAGTAAGGTAACTGACATTGTAGAAGATGAAGCATTTACGTTTTCTTCTAACGAACAAGTTCATCAATTGGAGGTCATAAGTTGATTACTGGAAGCAAAATTGAAGGCTCTCGAAGACATCGACCAAGACATTTTATCACTGTGTAACGTTGATGAAATTCCACAGGAGATCGAAGAATCTGAGAGGTATGTGGAGAAAGTTATCACATGCCAGAAGAAAATAAGCAATGTTTCTCAACCGACTGCTGGAGATATGCAAGAACCTCCTGACCCACTCGCGGGCTTAATTCAAGTGCTACCAGGAGGTGTGTCACTGTCAGTTCCTACTAGTCAAATCAAGGCAAAACTACCGAAACTTGTTCTCCCTAAATTTCGCGGTGAAGTCACGACTTGGATGGGATTTTGGTACTCATACAAGTCTGCAGTGCATGACAATGTAAATCTCTCGAAAATTGATAAATTCAACTATTTGAGATCACTGTTGAAAGGTGCCGCTAGCCAAGCCATTCAAGGTCTTGCTTTATCAAGTGACAACTATGATTCCGCGGTGGAAATACTTGAGCAACGATTTGGTAAAACACAACAGATCATCTCTGCACACATGGAAGAAATTCTAAAATTACAACTGTGCCTAACAGATTGTCCATCGTCTCTTCAATTTCTCTACGATAAATTAAGCGTACATGTGCAAGGTCTTTCCTCTCTGGGGGTGTCGTCCCAGGAATGTGGCAGTCTGTTAATTCCGATCATAATGTCTAAACTTTCCAACGAAATACGGCTGAAGAGTGCATGAAAATCGACCAACAAGGTATGGAAAATCGATGAGTTGTTGGACTCAATCAAAGAATTCGAAGCGTGTGAAGCCAGTGAGGCTGTCAGTACACAGGAAGTCCCGTTACGAAAACCGCCAAACCAGGGGTCAAATTCTTCACGATTGATTCCCACAGCGAATACACTATTTATGACAGAAGGCAAAGAATTTCGGTCTCGATGTGTTTACTGCAATGGAGAACAATACTCAGCCTCCTGTATGAAGGTTCAACAAATGAAAGAACGAAGAGACATTCTTCAAAGGAATAATCGATGTCTTATTTGCCTCAAAACTAGCCATGATGCGAACAATTGTTTCAAAACAAAGAGATACCAACACTGTGATGGAAAGCATCACCAATCGATTTGCGCAGAATAGATAAGCCCTCAGAAGAACAAAGAAGGCCGAACAGAAACAACATCCCGAGAGGAATGCCAAATGAGCACGTAACTGTTACTACGACCACAATCGCGAAGTCTACTACCAAGGGAACTGTACTTCTACAAACAGCAAGTTGCATGGCAGTCAACAGATCAAATTCAATTCCTGTACGTGTAATTTTCGACAATAGAAGTTGACAATCGTATGTCTCATCGAGTGTAACTTCACGCCTAAATTTACAGCCTGTCAATTCTGAAAATCTGCACATCAACAGCTTCGGGGACACAAGTTACCAGAAACAGAAATGCAATGTTGTAAAACTGTGTTTACAAACACGAAATCACAAGGAAGTAGAACTGTATGCAGTGAACTTCCCGGTAATCTGTTCGCCTTTGCCAAGCAGAGTTTAGAGGGCCTGGAATTGGCAGACAACTTCGACAACACTGAATCAATTGATGTCCTGATTGGATCCGATTATTACTGGGACTTTGTGTTGGGAGATTCCATTAAAGACAACCAGGGTCTGACTGCAGTCTATAGCAAATTTGGATGGTTGTTGTCCAGACCAATACACAATCAATCATTCAACTTGATTATTTCCGGTGGATGCAATTCGATGTTTGAGGGGCAAGATGAAAAATTAGTGGAGAGCTTGAAGAAATTCTGGGAGTCGGAGAGTGTTGGAAAAATTACTCAGGATCACTCACTACATGCAGTTAAACAAAAGCCAGAAATTCACTTCAATGGTCACAACTACAAGATAGGATTACCATGGAAAGAGGATTTACAACCATCCATGAACAGTTACCGATTGAGTGAAACCCAACTGTGATCACTGCATTTCAGGTTGAAAAAGGATCCAGATTTACTGAGGGACTATGACAAAATTATCCAAGAACAAGAGCAGACCGGAATCGTTGAGAGAGTTCCCGAAGAAGAATCAAGCAGTAACGTTGACAAGGAACAATTTTACTATTCGCCACACCATGCAGTTATCAGGAAAGATCGCGAAACAACTAAAGTACGCATAGTGTACGATGGGTCAGCGAAAACTTCTAAAGAAGAACTGTGATTAAACGATTGTTTAGAGACTGGTGATAATTACATTCCGCACATATTTGACATGTTAGCAAGTTTTCGAAGCTACCCAGTTGGACTCACTGTGGAAATCGAAAAGGCTTTTCTGATGGTGAGCATAAAAGAAGAAGACCGAAACACGTTTCGCTTCCTTTGGTTTGATAACCCGGATTGAGACAGACCTAAAATCGCGCAATTTCGATTCAATAGCCTTTTGTTTGGATTGTGACCATCGCCTTTGATACTTGGAGGAACAATAGCTCATCATTTGAGCTTGTACAAACAAAGTGAACTGGACATGGCAGCGCTTCTCGTTGATGATTTACTTTCTGGAGCAGGAGACGATGGGAAGGCCTTGGAAATTTATCACAAATCGAAGAGGATCATGGGGGATGGAGGATTCAATCTCAGAAAATGGAACTCTAATTCTCCCAATGTGATGTCTGAGATTTCAAGGTCTGAAAGGCCGCAAGCATGACGAGCTTTTCTCAAGAAAAGAATTCGCAGCAGGCATCGTAAACTGATGCTGAGGATTGGGGAAGAAGATTTTGGGTGGATGTCATCACATTAATTACACTGCAATGTAATTACATAAACTTGGCGCCCACGAATCCGCGAGAGATACGCGATTGCGTGCGAGTTACCGTGGGGTCATTTATTAACAATGAAAATCAAAGTCACGAAATATTAGAAAATTTGCTATGCGTAATGCTCGTTAAAAAACCGCGTTCTTGCCTGTTTCCTTATTATTATGACGTTTCTAATCCCGTAGTCTTTTTAAGATCCTCCCTTTTCACAGAAGAGGCGATACCTGCCAGGCACCGTATTTATTAAAGTCTCTGTTTCAGTTATTTATGTATTCTTTCGCTTGGTTTGCCATAAAACAGCAACAAAAGGTATCGTTTTTTTCACGTGCCGTTACGACCTGGGCAACAACCATATCAAATTTCCAGTATCACGCCACTTAGCGCATCGATCAATGTTTACGCTTTCCGATCAAAGTTATTGTTTTCGTACAAGACCCATGACGATCTCAAGACGTAGCTAACCTATCCTGGTTAAATTCTTACTAATATTATAATATTAAACTTCGGCGGGATTTTCAAAATTGAAAAGCATCATGTTTTTGATTTTGAAACCATTCAAAGTGAAGTCATGGAGGTAGTCATATTGTCCACATGCGCCTTGCTCCCAGTTGACTTTACCACCCAGAGTCTTTGCAGGGTTACAAGTGCCACACTTGACCCTTCCAAGCACTGGTATCTACTTTTGAAAGAGGTATGTGGTGTCGCTCTGCGTAAATTTTTCATACGCGATGTATTAAGGATATTTCCCAATGAAATCCAAAGTGTGGCTGCGCGGTAACTTCAGCCCGCCAAATTATCGTTTGGAGTTGTGGAGATGGACAGGATTCCCGACGTCGTCCACGTTGTGTCCACGTTCGAATTTTGTCTGGTTGCTGGTCTTCTTCGCAATAAAAAAATTCCCGACGAACTTATTAATTCTGCGGGATTTATGGCAATCGTAAATCTGGTCAACTCCGCCACACTAGACTTTGAGTCCGAGGGCGCGAAAAATTTATCTTTTGGCGCCAAAACCAGTCAAGACTCCGAGGAGCTCGTTTCCTTGCTTACCGAAAGATCAGCCAGAATAAATTCCCTTGAAGGGGAATTGAAGTAACTCCAAGCACGGATTTCCCATCTCGAGTCGAGCACGGAGGCAATTTTAGACGATTCTTCCCTCCCTAATTCCCCATGTTGCTCATGTACTCCGTTAAGTTCGTCTAGTTCCTCGTGTAGTTCAATCGATGACACAAAGAGCCGACCTGATTTAGGAACAATAAACAAGAAAAGACAAGTTCTTAAAAGGTGCAGGAAGATAACAGCTGTCCTTGATGACGTTTCTGAGAGGTACAATGAGTCCATCGCTGCCGTCCTCGGAAACAGCTTCTTGTACGGAACGGATGGGGAAAGGGAAAAAGTACAAGGCATCATCTCAGAAGTCATTGATCTAATTGTTACAAAATCAAAGGGTTCGAGGAATGGTCTGACCGAGCTTCTTTCGCCACAAACACTAACAAATGTTTTCCAAGGCATGCGTGTACCAGACTGGGTGTTGTTGTTTTTTAAGCTCCAAACAAGACTCCCAGATTCTGCATGGCAAACTCTGCTGAACTTGACTCGACTAGGAAAGAATGGGGTGAGTTACTAACTGTAAAGGTTTTTGCTCTCATTAAATTTAAGCATTTTGTTATTTATTTTATTTTCATTGCTTTGTTTCTACAGCGATGAGCTGTCAGTCATGTGATCCTTTTTCTTACCAGCAATGTAAGCCCCATGTAAGGTTGTATTTGACAAAATTCATAAGAGTTTTATTTCAAATTTAATGAGGATGATTTTGTGTATCGTGGTGAGACGTACAGCATATTGATTTTTTATGAGTAAAATTACATCTTACACCTCAGGTAAGGTATCCAGTTTTCAAAGGATTCCTCCTGAGTGTTATAATATTGTAATTTTCACGCCCTGTGTTGAATTTCATTTGCACGTGCTGCTAGACTCATTAATATTCAGTTTCGTTTGTACCTTCGAGGCACTTGATAGAGATTAAATGTCTGTTCAGTAACCGCTTGAACGTGTGGATCGCTGTGTTATTACACTGAGAGGGGAATTACATATTTTCATTCAGTTTTATGGCTTGAAAATCAGAACACGATATATAAAGCAGTTATTGAGACTTCTTTTAGTGGGTTATTTTTGAAAGTATTTCTGAACATAACTGATGTCAACCTTTTTTAACATTTATAAAGTGACAGTTGATCTAAACCTGTTTCTGGATAATTTTTTTCAACAGAGAGCTGGAGACACGCCTGTACTGCTCACAAAAAATGAGATAATGGCACTGAAGAAACTAGTCTTCTCTACAGTACAGAAAACATTCAAAATTGCCAGGGTCAAAGATGCAGATTTTGATGCTTAGAATGTGCATCTAAATTCTGTTCTTGTCTGGGCAATTAGGGAGCAGCACCTCCATTCATGCAACTCAGAAGACAAAGAGTTTAACATTAAACTTGATGGACGTCCACTAGGAGGTGTGTTCTCATTTGAGTAAATTTTTTGAGTTGTTAGTCTTGAGTATGAAAGTGTAATCCTGGCCAGATTAAGCAAAGGTGTCTTTTTATTGGATTATTTCAGGTAAAGACCAAGTAGCTGTAGGCCTGGCACCCACTGATTTTAAAAACAAAAGCTCTGAGAGCGCACTGTCTATTTACCCCCTTGCAATTGGGAACTGTATAGAGAAAAGGATAAGTGGTGATTTAAGTAAGTCAGGTCAAATAATCAATGAAAAAAAATTATAATAACTAATTTTACAATGACCATTTCTAATCATTTACAAAAACAAAAAAATACAGTTATAAAATGTGTATTGGATCACATGCTGGTGCATGCAGACAATAGTGCATGTTACTGGTTTTGAAGAGAAGACTTTGAATAATTTTAAAGGCTCTTACATTATTGCCATCATTTTTGCTGTAAATACTAGAATACTCAGAGAAGTGGGACTGTATTAATGAAGGTGCTTTTGCAAGTGTTTTCTTTTAATTTTTTCTCTCCTTTTTTTATTAGGTCAAATTTAAAGCAGTTACTTGAAAACTTCAATTATCAGAAAGATGTCATCAAAAAAACATGGAATATGGGTCGATGGTAAAAAGTACAACATTTCTTTCACAGGTAAATTTTAATTAGAGAGACAGAAAGTTAAGAGGAAAAGTAAACTGCAAAATGACAAAGTTTGGAATTAAGTAGGCAAAGCAGCCAAATTTTCTGTTTAATTGAACATTCAGAGTTACTCATTGAAAAAAGGGAAAGAAAACATTCCACACAGAGCCTATTATTACTTCACTGCACAATAACATTGAGTCATTGTTTAATTGAATTAAGTTAAATCATGTGGAGAAGTGAGTCTTCCTGAGACAATTTTTTTATTATGTGTTAATTCTCATGTGTTATGAACATCAAAGTATATTCTGTAATTGTTTCCTTAAATTTCCTTTTTCTGCAGTAACTCTTGATTACAAGGCCTTGCTGCTTGATGAAGATTTCCTTCTTGGTGGGAAAGGATATGGTGTGGAATTTTGTGTATTTTGTGATGCAATCAGGGTAATTATTTCTCTTGATATTTTCCTTGCTTTTAATTTTTTCATCAACTTATGATCAGATCAGTTTTCTGAAAGTAGAATGGCATCAAGTCAAATTTGAGGTAGTACATGGCTGTAGTGAAAAACAGCCATTGATGACTTTATTTTGTAGAATATATCTGTTGTTAAAGTGCATGAAATTACCTAAGAAATGAATTTTAATTAAATACTTATTTTCATTGAGGCCTGTACATGCCATGGAGTTGATGCAGATGAAACCTGTCTAGATTGTTTAAGGTCAAAAGCCAACATCGGAAGGTGAGATACCTGATAAAATTTATTGGTATCATACAGACATGTTTCATGTGTGGCAAATCTAACCCAACCAACTCTCTTTACTTTCTCTTTATACAGGTGTTCAGGCCTTCGAGATGACCTTAATTTCCTATTGGAGGAAGAATTAAGCAGCATTAATCTTTGTTCTCTGCATTGTGAGATGAGAAATTGTGAACAGCTTTTGGGTTCATTGGGGTTGTTTGCCTATCGCATTGGAAGCCTTGATAAATTAAATGAGGTTTTGTCCAATTATGGTCCTGAAAATTGCTGTGGGTTTCCACGAGTAACTATCAAGGAACGAAAAGGCCAGCAAACAGAAATAATGAGACAAAACATTTAAGTGGCATTTTTTTCTGGTATGTTATTTGTATGCATTTGATATAATTTATTGTGCCATATTTGTTTATCATTCACCTTAGGCCAGTTATTATTTTTTTATCAGCATTCCCAATGCTATTTATCAGGAATTAGCTAATTCAGAACATATGAAACATACAGAAGAGCTGTATTAATTCTCATTAACAGCATGAAACTCATTTGATCAACCAGTTTGTTTTAGAGACAAGGTATATTCTTTTCTGGTAATATCCATTTACCTGACAAATACCATGTAGTTTTGTGACTCTTTATGCTAACCACACTGCTAGTGTGTGTCATAACATTTACATTCCTCCAAACTCACAGATGAATATTCTACAAATTATTATTCTTCAGGTTCTACTGAAAGAACAGCTCTACAGAATTTTGAAGACATAGTAGAAAGATCGCTGCCCCTGGAGAAAGTGACCCAGTATTATATGGAACGTCCTGCAAGAAATGTTATTCTTAAATATGTTGCTTTCTTTGAAGAGCACATAATGGTATGCATTTCACCTTTTGAACCCCAGCCTCAGCATTTATCGTATATTGGAATATATGATTGTTTGATTGAATCCAGGGAGAATCTGTCAAAATTAAATATGCCTTGAAAATAAGATAAAGCTTAGTTTCAAAAACCTTGTCATAAAGAATTCCTAGCTATGATAATTGTTAAATTTTTGCTAATTGAGAAATGCAACACTTTGATTTACAGTTTGTGAGTGACATATTTGACAGGGGAACTTACATACATGATTATGGCTCTAAAAAGGAAACAGTTTACCTTGATGAGACAAAAGGTAAAGGCTGCTGAGGTCAATATGCCTAACAACTTAATTTTGGTACATCACATTAACTGTAGATAGCTATTAATGATTACACTGTCACACAGTGAACTACAATTTTTCTCCAATTTTTTCTCTTAAATTGGGCTGTGACACATGGAATCTAAGTATAGAATTTCCATCCACTTAAGTGAACTGTTTTGTCTTTATTGTTTCTTCTTTGTTGTTTGTCCTGCATTGGTGTTCGTAGTGGTGTTCACATGAAATAATTTTTGAAATTAAGTAAATCTTGTGTCCATTCTCCAAAAGAGCTTAAAGCCTTTTTGCTTAAACTTGAAGAGTGGTGGGAAAAAAAACAAAATGAGGTGGAAACAGCATTCCTTAAGCTAGAGGAAATGTCAAATGCTTAAGAGCCAGGCAAGAAAAAAAACAAAAAAGAGGGAGAAAAATTCAGCCAGGGTTTCAACTGTCCTCTAGTTCTTTTGCCAAATATGCAGCTGAACTTCAAATTGAGATGTTTTCAAAGGTAAGTTGAGAAAATTGTCCATGTTTAAAATCCCATATCAGTAAATGTTATTTAAAGGTTTGCCTGATGCAGTAAGTCACTTTGCAGGTAATTTATATCAATTAATCAGGGCTGAATTAAAGACTGATGATTGCCTTAAACCATTTATACTAGGTTTGCTGTGATTGGAGAGAAATTGCTCTCACAATGCGTGAGAGAGTCTTTGAAAACCATGAAGAACAACATATTGACATTTATGATGTGAAGGTGATTTTTTTTTCTTGCATTAAGACTCAATGCCTTTTCAATGTTTCAAATATGGATTTAAGAACTTAAATTGTCTGAAATGAGGATACCTAGAAATAATATAAATTTACTTTTATACATTAGCTTTACTATTATATGCTCTAGGTTTTGGTTTAAAACTGCCATCACCAGCAAGTTGATAATTATTAGTTACACACTCAGGAAAACTGCTGGCCCCAAATTAATATACTTAATCTCGCCTTAGTTAGACTTACTAATGCCACTCTTATCTTCTTGGTCTTTTCATTTAAGTGCAAGGAGTGGGGATTTTTGCTGAAGAAGCTGTTTGGTTCCCATCTCGGCACTGGTGATTATGGATACCTAGTCGTCGATCACAGTGCTATGCTTCTTCGGCACTTCCGCTCTTTCTATAAGTACTCAGGGCAAGGATTTGAGTCCTCCCACAAACTACACCGCCAATTGTATTCTAAGGCAACAAACCATGATGCATCTGGGCCCAGCCAGTCTTGTGAGTTAATAAACATTTATTTCAATGCTCATATAATTATGAAAAAATGCACATATTAATGAACATCTTATTTGGATGGCTGTAGAACTTATCAAAATTTCACTTTTTCTTTCCAGTGAATCAAATCCTTACCCACTGGTATGCAACTATACTGTTATCCTTGTGGTACTCATTCTACGAAGCACGAAATTGTATTACTGTAGATGGGTATAGCTTTTAATTTATATGTAAATAAATATAACTTCACAATTATTTAATTCTGTTTCAGTGAGATTTTTAGTTTACCCTTTTTGAACTTTTAAAATATGGTGACACACAAAATTAGCCCTTACGTTATAATTCCTTTTTTCCCACAGGAAAAAGAACATTTTCCTACCATGGATGTGGTTGGAAAAGTATGAGTCATGATTTAAAATCATGGACTGAAAAAAAGAAATCCTGGGTGTTTGTTCTTAGTGATATTTTTGAGCAAATGTTTGGAACTGACTTTTTAACCTACTGTTTTGACAAAGATCATGGAACTAAAGTTGATGATTCCAAAAAATGTGAAATTTTTGAATACTATCATGAGTACTGGGAGAAGCATTTCTCCAGAGAAAGTCCAGAGCCACAGGACGATACCAAGCATCTTTGTCATCCCAGAATCCATCTTAATTCACATGCCAATATTCATCCGCAACAGCCAGCACCTAAACGAATTAAATTTGATACTCTTGATTCAACTTCATCTAGCATCTACCAGCCATCCACGTCAGAGCTTAACTTTGCTGAAATGCTTGAAGCCCAAGATGACTCCACACACATAAAGAGCAGCCAAACATCCTTAAAGCTTGTTAGTGACACTTCTGTTGTTGTTGGAGATGATAATGTTCCTAAAATGCCACAGCAATGTGTACTTAGAGCTGCAATGGCTAAGGCCACAACAAGAGCTTAAGTAGCTGCCCTTTACAGCCTTATTCTCCACTATCATCAAGATCTCCCTCTGCATGAAACCCATTTTAGGAGAAGCTGGCCTTTTCAGATCCCTTCTCTGTAGCAGAGCGTCCTTGTGAAGGTGACATCCAGAGGGCTCACCAAATTTTGTACAATGAACGAAAAGCTGGTAAGAATCCTTGTGGCATCAAGATTGAAGGTATTGGGCAGTTCTCTTAAAATGCCTTATCTATCTTACGGCGTTTCTGTGAAATAGTAGACACCCACCACAAAGTATCTGTAGAGGCTAAATGGCTCTTCCAGATGAAATGCAGCCCTAAAGATCTTGTACAGTTGCAAAATGCCCTTTGGAATATTTTAGCTAGTCAACCAATACTGAAGCATGGTACAAAGAACCTTGATTCCACCTCATTTTCAGATCTTGTTGAGGAGCGTTACATTGACAGTTTTGTCATAGATATTTGCATTAGCAAGTTTCTAGACAAAGCCAGAGAAGCTGGAAAGGGTTTCACTGTCTTCTTTCCAAGTGAGTTCTATGACTGGATGAGGTCAAATGACAAAGAATTTCAAAAGCGGTAGTTGAGAGAAAATGTAGAGCGGCTGAAACAAGTCAATGACCTCCAGCAAATATTGGTGCCAGTCTACCTGCCCATTGAGTGCCTCAATGACCAGCTGCAATACAATTCCTATAAGGAATTCAGCTCCAATTGGTGGGCTGTATTTTCTGCAAGGTAGAGGCCAGACTAACACGGACTTTTTCGTTGTAGTTATTGTTGTAATTATTGTAATTATCATTATTATTAATTTTGTTATTGTTATCATTATCATTATCCTTACAATTGTGATCATCATTTTCAAAATGAAATAGGCTGCTCAATGAGGATGGCATGCTGAGGCAAGTAAATTTTCATTTAATTTCCCCACCCCCCTTCCCCCAAGCAGAACTGCTAATGTTTCTGTTGGCTTTTCTCTTCAATAGATTGTTAAAATGCAAAAGATTTTCTAAGGCACATTGTTCAGAGGGCTTTCTCTTAAATAGTCAGTCCATTATAGAGTGTTGTTTTCTGATTCAAAACCACCTGACAGGTTCTGTCTCTCTTGGGTAATTGGTCTATTGACTGTTGTTATCTGATGGCAGAACTAACATGTGTACCTGTTTCTCTTGGGTAGTCAGTCCATTATGGGCTGTTGTTAGCTGATGGCAGAACCACTAACTTGTTCTGTTTCTCTTGGGTAGTCAGTCTATGGACAGTTGTTATCTGATGGCAGAACCAGTCCCAATTTTTTTCCTGCTCTTAGGCTGTCAGTCCTATATGGAAAGTTATTTTTATCTGAAAGCAGTTTTCCCTCTTTTTTTTGTTTTTAAAAATGTATTGCTAAGGCTGCCTGTCACCCATCAACTATCATTAATCATTGGTACAATGGTCGATCAATGCTATTATTGTCCTCATTATGATTACTAATTCAGCTGCTACTCTAATCTGTTTGACACAGGGCCCACTACAGACAGCACTAGCTTAATGAAGTCCCAAAACCTTTCACAGTAAACCAACTCAAGAATTGCAGTCCAGAAAAATTTTTGGGGTTTTCCTGTCTTTTCTTGAGTTTATTTTGCCCCAGTTTCAATCACTTGGATACTTAGTCAGTCTGACTATCGATAACACCATTTAGTTCATAGATAAACACTGAAA